TAGATAAAACTGGAAAATTGCAAGGTATTAAATTAATAGTGGTAAGATTCAGGAGAAACGCCGAATCACTGCATTTTTCTAATAAAGCAATTTTGGGGCAGGTATAGGAAATACCTTCCAGTTTCTTATTGTTATTTTCAAGGAAGTCTGGATATACAAACTAGGAGTCTTTATAGAGAGTGAGGTATTTGATTGACTGCCAGCTGATGTACACTTTAGTGTGTTAAATTACTAATATATTCCTTAAAAAAAAAAAAAAAAGAAAAAGGAAACTGCACATTTAAATGTTGAATGATTGAATGACCTATAACAGTGTGGATTTTCTTTTCTTTTTCTTTGATTGCAGCAAAGACAAGCAGAATTAGAAGCGGCACGGTTAGCAAAGGAAAAGGAAGAAGAAGAAGTTAGGCAACAAGCATTAGTAGCAAAAAAAGAGAAAGAGATTCAGAAAAAAGCAATCAAGAAAGAAAGGCAAAAATTGAGAACAACATGCAAGGTATTTAAATATTATTATAGTGAAACACAGATTACATTAGTGAGGTTGTTACGCTTGCTTAGATCAGACCCCGCCACAGACTTGTTCTTATGGCCAGAGATGGGAATGAAAACTGAGTTTTCTGAAAAGCAAAATACTAAAGCATAGTTATCATGCAGTTTTGAGTTACGAGCAAAGCTGGCCAAATAGGCCCAAACACAGCAATGTCTGAAGAATGCTGGGGTGTTGAGCCTTTGCCTGAGGATCCAGGACAATAAAGTTCAAGGTAGAACATGTATTTCTGCTTCCAGAACTGGAATTACTTTTCTGATAATGAGGCAGATTGTGTTAAAATGATGGAGGAGGTGGAAAAGCTTTGTGATCGTCTTGAACTCGCAAGGTAAGCTGTCCTGACCCTGATTTCTGCTCATTTTGATACCCGTCTTTATACTAGCTGTCCAATGTAACTTAATAATTTATTTTTAGTCTGCAATGCTTGAATGAAGCACTTACATCCACAACAAGGGAAGGAGGAAAGGCGGCTGTAGTAAAACAGGTAATTATGCTGAGTGACAAATCAAAATACAAGAATAATTAGACTTGTGAAATTTACCTGGCAGAGTCTAAACAAGATACAGGACATAACCCAGTTGCTGTGGATCCTGCCTGTTAAACATAAAGACCTGAGCTGCAGAGTAGCCAGACACTTGGTTTCTGCTCTGTACATAGCAGTGTTCAGGACTGGCAAAGTAACAAGTGCCAACTGAGGAAAATTTAGCCATTTTCCCACTGTTTGTGCAGCATGCAGAAGCAGCAAAGGAATTAAAAATTCCCCAGCAATTGGTAACAGTTACCTAGAAGGGGAAGAGAGCAGTGTCTGTGACCCAGGGCCAGATCCACAAAAGGATTGAGATGTTGCAGCCCGTGGTTTGCCTGGGGGTCAGGTTTACTCAAATGAAGACATAGGGTTCAAATCTTTTATTCAACTGACTTGAAAACAATCTCCGAGTCTCCAGGAGTGTGTTCCAAAAACTTGACGCTCAACTTTCATTCTCAGTTATAGCTGATCAACTTTTGCAATAATAATGCTGATTTTATGAGATAATTGTCTTTTTGTTAGATTATGAGACCTGTTTTGTGCCCTCTGTAAGCAGGCTGAAGCCCGTAGCTTTTTAATGTCACCAAAATGTGAGTGGGCATACTCAGAAGCAGCTACCTTAAAATTATGCCTACACTTCAGTCTTAAGATGTGGCCACAGTTCCCAAAGATCTGATAAATAAGTGATCTAAGTTCTGCTGAATTGCTTGCTAACAGGCTACATACGACCATCAAATCTTGAGTAAGTTTAAAGCTAAAATATGAGTTGCTGCAGTTAATGTTTTTATCTGTGATCAGTAGAGCTTATTTGCTGCAGCTTTGATTTTCCATACAACGGTAGCAAGTGAGACTTTTAGCATCTCCAAGCCTAGGCAGCAGTTCTGTTGGAGAATTTGGTGGTTATTGTTTGAAGCTGGATGTTGAACTGTGCCCACCTGCCACATCAGGTTCCCCATCCTTTGTGGATCTGTCCCTCAGTGTCAGATACTGGCCTAGACATCCCCATCACATGGAGCACTCCTGCCTTAGTCCTAGGAGCATTCCTTTCATTTGCGAATGAACTTGTGCTGTTTTTTTTTCTGTTATTTTGGGATGTACAAATTCATACATGTGATGGAGGAAAATAACACTGCAGCAGGTAGGCTCCCATTCTGTAGCTATAATGTACAGGGCAGAAACAAAGCAAAACTCAGGGTTTGAAGGAATCCTAGAGTGAGACATTTACATAAATGTGAAATGTAGAAAACGATGCATGTTTACCATTCTTTAGATAGAAGAAATAAATGAACAAATAAGGCAAGAGAAAGAAGAGGCAGAGGCTCGAATGCGCCAAGCAACGAAGAGCTCAGAGAAGTCAACCAGCGGTGGTGGAGGGGGAAGTAAAAACTGGCCAGAAGACGATTTACAGCTGTTAATTAAAGCTGTGAACCTCTTCCCCGCAGGGACTAACTCCAGGTACTTCTTGTCTTCAGTGTCACAAGCCCCCCTGAGAATTTCTCATTAAACAAGTCCTGCCACTCCTTTTCCTGTGTCAGAATCCAAAGCTCGCCCACCTTGGCTCCCTCAGTTCTTAAGGAAAATTTCTGCATTGTGACCAAAATGGCAGACATAAATTATCTCCTTTGCTTTCCAAAATATATAATGTGGGAGTATGTGCATATTTAAGTATCCTCAAACTTACTTAGGACTTGGTATTGATCAGCTGTGCGCAGAAGCTGGAGCTTGTAAGAAGCTGTTACTGCCTGTTATGTAACGCACTGTTTTTCCCTTCCTGTTCTTGCTTTAGGTGGGAGGTCATTGCCAATTATATGAACCTGCACTCTACTACTGGAATAAAAAGAACGGCAAAAGATGTCATCAATAAAGCAAAGAGCCTCCAAAAACTCGGTATCTTTATTAGCTTATTTTTGTTATAAGATGGGCTGCATCCTTTTCTAGGGCTTTTTTTTTTCTTCCCCTTTGAAGAGCATTTTGGTTTGTTTGGTTTTTTTTTAGAAGAAAATGTTCCCTATATCCCAAGAACAAATGTAGCTCAGGTGGAAGACTTAGATGAGTGTTTCTGTGCCCCAGTCTTTTCAGCCATGAGTACGTCACCACCTGATGAATGAATCTCAGGCACTCTTTAACTTACTGCAGTTACATGTCAGCCAAGCTCTTTGCCTGGACTCATCTACACACAGGGTGAAACCACCTGGCCTCTGGAAAAGCTCTTTGTTAACAACTGCATCTCAGTAGGGAAAAGGCAGTTTTAAGCCTAAATCTTCTCCCTTCCAAACCACTTCATCACTCAAGGAAGCCCTAGACTTTCCTTGTGTTCCTGACTACCCCTCGGGTGGTCTGGGTTTCACATAAGTTTCAGATTCAGGCTTCAGAGGACAGGGGGAAGGTATTTCTGGGAGCAGCAGAAAGAAGGAGAGGGGTTGGAAAGCCTCACAGTAGTAAAATGTGTTGTTCCCTGAAAGATTTTATCCACCACCCTCTTGACTAACCTCTTAAAGTGAAGAAAAGCAAGTCTTTTGATTGCGAGAATATCAGTTGTAGGATAAGCTGCTACACACTCTATTTATCATTACGTATGACTTAGATTTTGTTGCAATAATTATTCTACTAAGTGTCTGTTGTTTTTAGACCCTCATCAAAAAGATGATATAAACAAGAAAGCATTTGACAAGTTCAAGAAGGAGCATGGGGTCGTGCCGCAGATGGACAGCGCTGCCCCCTCGGAGCGATTCGAAGGTGAGGTCTGGAGGGGAGCCCTTTGCGCAGACTTCTGGCCCCTGCTCCCAGTGCAAGGCTGAGTAAAGCTGGATGACTTCTTACAAACACTCTTACCAGCCTATAAACACGATCCCTTCTTGGATTTGCTGGCATGTTTCTGGCACCCACAGTACAAGCCAAGCTTACTTAAGCAGTTACTGATGGTCTGGAATGCTTTCCCTGTGGATTCCCAGGGCCTGCATTATTAAATACCTTGTTTTACTGTTGTTTTTGCATTTAAAAACAGGCTCACCTTTAGACTCATCGCCTTGGACTACAGAAGAACAAAAGCTTTTAGAACAAGCGCTGAAGACTTACCCCGTAAATACTCCTGAGAGGTGGGAGAAGATAGCAGCCGCTGTCCCGGGGCGCTCAAAAAAGGACTGCATGAAGCGCTACAAGGTAGGGCCCTCGCTGCCTCCCGCAGGGCCGGGCACCAGCGCGGCCTCGGGCACAATCCCGGGCCCCCGCTCGTGCTGTCCCCCCTTTTCAGAAAATACTTTTCTGATAAGACTTCTTATCTAAAAAAAGGGCAGTGCAGATTTTTCATGTATTCTCAGTGAGATTAGTGGATCTTGGAACTAGCAAGGCAAGGCTGCTGCTTGAAGCTTTTCTTGCAGTTTCACAGTAACTTGTTGTGCAGGATAAAACATTATTCCTGGCTGCTGCTTAGAGGTACTAGAGGGGGAGTAGATGAGAACTCACCCTGAAAAGGACATCAGTTTCCATTTATTTAGTTCCAAGAGAAATGACTACAAGGCATTAAACTGTTTAGGTTCCACACCATGTCCATAGTAAGTGTGTTTCAGGCTGAACACCTTTTGCAATCAAAAGCAGAGTGACGAGCTTATGGGTACCTATGTGCCCTTCACTTGTTTTTCTTTTTTTCCAAATATTCCAGGAACTTGTTGAAATGGTCAAGGCCAAGAAAGCTGCTCAAGAACAAGTGATGAATGCTACTAAAGTCAGGAAATGACTTTTACTGACAATCTTTGTTTTATAATAAAAATGCAAATACTGTACATGTTTTCCCTCTTTCCTTAATTATACAGATACACAGGAACGTGTGTGGTGCTTGAGTTTTAATCTTCCTAGAGGCATTTCTCCACGTCACAAACTGTTGAACAGTAGTGAATTTGTTCATAAAACTCAAAGATGATTTTTCATTCACTAAGCACGAGGCCAGGCCATGCCGCTGCAGATTCTGTTGTACTCTGGAAGCTGTTCAATGGGACCTGGAAGTTAAAGAAAATGAGCCACGACACATAATCAACTGCCACAGGCTGGTGGGAAGTTACAGGAGGGGAGGGAACTCACACAACATACCTATAGCAGCAACTGCAGGACGCTTGTCATAAATGTACTTTGTGCAAACATCTCGAAGAGTCTGGGTGTCAATGGCCTAAAAGGGTTTGAGGGAGAGACCTTTGTTACCCAGCCTGGCTTAAGAGTAGTAAGAGCTACTGCTCCTAATTTTGTATAATCCAGAACTACAGGCAACAGTAATTGATTTTTTTTCTCTTAGAGAACAGTCTAATCCCTGTGTTGTCATTTCCTCTAACAATTAGAAATTTAACTGCTAACTTAAGAATCATAGCAGAAGCAGCACTCACTTCAATTCTTGCCTCGAGCTCTGGAATGGGGATTCTGCGCTTGTAACACAGCATCTGTCTCCCAATGTCTTCACAAATTGGTGTAGACCCTGAAACAAGGGGCAGGGGGAAATGCTTCAGTTACCAGCATACACCTACAGTTAGAATAAAAAGTTCTGCTCAAGTCTCACCATCCAGCTGCAGCAGCATATTTGTCTTTAGAAGATTTTTGGCTCGAGCTACTTCACTTTCTGAAACACTTGTGCAAAGTCTTATCCTGGAAAATACGTTAAATCCACAAAGGCATTAAAGAATGCTAACCAACAGCACACAAGATTGCCCAGGATAAAGAGCTGCACCTGGCTACCAAGGCATTTCTTTTCCTACAGACAGCAATAGAAGTGCTTGATATAGAAACAAGTCATTACAGGACTTACAGGAGGAGCATAAAAGTTACTGTTTTGGAAGTATCCCACTATGCAACCAAAGAATCGTTTCTTCCCCTTAGAAGAGGGGGGTGTCATTTAAGATAATTTAAGTATAGTCTGTATTTGCTAACTTGAGAATGGCTTTTGGTAAAAGAGGAGCTTAAGCTTAAAGATAATTAATCAGAGACAGTCTCACTGAGTGCCAGGCAATAAACTCTACCCACTGCAGCATGTTGTAGGAGAGAAGCCTTTACTAGAAAGACAGAAGCATTAAATATTTCAATATTAAATATTCTAAACCCAAGCCTGTGTCCTTGGAATGCATACTCACCATTCGCTCTGAACAGAGTGCACCATGTCCTGGATAGTGGATGGCTCACACACCATATAGAGGCCCCACAGCCCCGTGTCGGTGTAGCAGGTGTTGAAGGACTGGAAGCTGTGACACAGGTTACCGTGGCAGGCAATCTGAGCAAGTTTACTCGATAAAGTCTGCTGAGGCAAGAGGAAGTGTCTTACACTAAGTTTTTTTGGAAGCCTTCCAACTTCCTCCATGGAGGGAGCAAGCATCACACTATCACAGGCTCCAGAGGAAGCTACAGGGTTAAACATTAGCTCTCCTCTCAGCTGCTTTCCTTGCCTGTAATCTCACACTTCCAATCAGTCCAGTTTTATGTCAACTTTCAAAAAAATCATCAACGATGCAGGTTCAGGGAAGGGAACAGTTACTGGTACCCCCAGGTTCTCATCACAAATAGCTATGAAACCTTCCCTGAGGCATCAGGGTTGACTGACCCCAACTCATCTCAGCGGCTTTAGCACCACCTGCCAGCATTTTTCTAGATTTGGGGTAACAACTTCTCTCAGAGGCCGCACGGGTTTTCCTTCCACCACTCCAGCACAGGGCCATAAGGTCCTGCAGCACCCCCAGAGAGCCCGCATGGGTCTGGGCTGGCAGCACCCAAAGCAGCCCCTGGCCAGGCAGGCAGCGCCCGGGGGAGGGTGCAGGAAGCAGGCGGCTCTGCACAGGGCCACTCACCACGCCGCTTCCAAGGGAACGGTCCCAGTTCCCTATCAGGGTATTGGCCACCATGAGCGGGATGGTATCTGGATGACACCAGCCCGCTGCTTCGACGGACACCGCGATGTGCGCCAGGGGCATCTTGTCATCCCTGATACGGACCTGTGGGGACATGTGGAAGAGCTGTAGCACAAGCAGCCCCGTGACACACAGGGCAAGCTAAACAGCAGGAGGCAGAAGTGCTGTTAAACATGTGGCATAAATCACGCACACACAGAACCACAACTCGAGGCTTGCCAAGTATTGCTTAATATCAGCCTTAGCTAGTCTTCTCTTCAGGGAATCTCAGAGGACTTCAACCCAATGCCACATGTAGTGAAGGCATGAGGAATCACTTTATGACAAATGACATCATTTGATGACATTTTTTATGAGGAAGGGTGCTAATTTTCCAAAATCTGAACAGAATTGGAACCATCCTGGAAGAGTCCTTTAAACCATCAGCTCCCAACAAGTGAAAACACTGCAGCAGCAACGCAGGCAGGGGGCAAAGGGGAAGCAGCAGCAGTGAGGGGGCTACTTCTGCAGGAGCTGATGAGAAAGTAGTGGCAGGGAGGCTGCCCAGGGAAGCTTGGAAGAGACTGCTCTGGAAAGCAAAGCTCCTGCTGCCCTCATTGGAGGCACAAGAGCCTTAAACCTGCTGCGCACGAGGCTGAGGAGCTCTCCTCAGCGCAGCCGGTGTCCCCCACACTGGCAGGGGGCACCAGGGCCAGCCCCAGGGCCCCGCGTCGCTCCCTACCTCGCTGCCCGTGAAGCTGCAGGGCGGCAGGGCCGGCAGCCCTCCCTCCGGCGCGCTCGGCAAGCTGCCAAAGTGGGACTTCGCCAGGTCGAGCAGCTCGTCATGAGAGACCCCTGAGCAAAGGCATTTCACATTCACTCTAACACCACTCTGAACCATTCATTTATTGCCGTGCAATCTAAGGTCTCAACTAAGCCGTAATTTACAATCTCCCTGTTTCAGAAACACACTTTTAGATTCCTCCTTTCCACTATAGTACAGAGTAAGACCTTCATGTCATCTCCCTTAACTCTCTCCAATAGTCTCCTATCAATATTACATCAAATCAAGCTCTTCGCTCCCAATTTCAAGCCCCAGTAGGATCCCCTCTCTTGCTTTCTGCCCCCCCCCCTTTTTTTTTTTTTTTTTTTTTTTGCTACTCCTCTATCTGTGCTGAACTCCAGGCCCTTCTTCCCCTGCCCACACGTTAGAATGATCTTGCTCCCCTCATTTCTAGTTACTGGTTTAATAATGTTCCTGAAATATTAGAGGGAAAGA